ATCGAAAAGGTTTGGCGACCCCTGGTTTAGATATTTATCACAGCATGCTTTCAAACAAATCACAGATACTTGAAACGAAATTCAGTAATTTTTACAATTTTTGCCACTATATTTGAAACTCTGATAACGTATTTTAATACAAGCTGCTCGCTTAATTCTGTAGTTCTTAAGAGAGATGTTGATATTTTCTTAAAAGTTTCATCGGGCAGGTTTGAAACACAAAATCAAGGGTGCTCATACACCTTAAACCCCTTATGATCTTCAAATATGTGACTGTTGCAAGAAATGGGATATTTTATTTATTTTAAAAGCAATTACTTCCAAGTTTTTACAGCTGACTCCATAATATAACTGTTTTAGAAACTAGTAACCAGATAGTTAGTGTTGCCACAAATATTTTTGTAATTTAATCCGCTTTGTAACAAGGTATTTCGTCCTGTTGTCATCTTGCGCGCATGATATTTAAAAAAAAATGGCTAATGGTACGTACTTGAAATTTCATAGAATTCTTTATATGGGCACTATTTTCTAAGTGAACTAAAAATTTGATGAATATTTTAGTATTAAAAAATTTTATGCACGAAAACATTACAGATTTTTTTAATTAAATACATTTTATAAACTCAACTCAAAAAAATTTAACATGAAATTCTTAGAATTTTAGGTTCACAGTAGTTTCCAAATGTTGTAAAACTATATATTAAATATGGAATTAAATTATGCAACAGAATGTTTTAAACTGTGCGCGCAAGGTGGAAACTTGACGAAACATTTTGTCACAAAGCGGATTAAATTATGAAAATATTTATGGCAACACAAACTTTCTGATGACTATTTCAGATAGCAGCTATATTATGTAGTCAGCTGTAAAAAGTTAGAAGTAATATCTTTTAAAATAAATAAGTTATTCCAATTCTTGCAACAGTCACATATTCGAAGATCTTATGGGTTTTAAGCTGTACATGTCCCCTTAAAGAAGACATTGTAGAGTTTTCCAGTGTATTTCTGGATCATCCAAGGATAGACCCTACTGAAAAGACTAAGCAGCGAATTCTCGCTATGTCTTTAATGAACAGATACCGCAGAAGAATGTTTAAATAACCTTTTTATTTGACCTTAATAGAAGATGCACTCACTCACAGTTTACCACCACTTAAAGCTAAGTAACTCGAACAGAAAATAAAAATATAAAATCACAATAAAGTAAGATGGGCTACACGACTGGCTCCTTATTTATCTAAAGCACTAAATCGGCTGCCCACAGCAAAGCGAAACCTAGAATATCAATATAATCTAAAGAAGGTGGCTAAGCACCAACTATTCACGTACAAGGCTACTTCAAACACGCGGCATAAATTCGGAACTAACTTCATGAACTCTTAAAATCGCTGCTTAAATACTTCTTCCGAACTCATTTCCAATTTGCATAACACGTCATTGAAATTTACATTCTGGCAGGAATTGGAAATCAGAAAGGAAGTTTCACACACTACAAATAATTGGTTGGAATAAAAAAAAGTCTTTACAGTATAGGAAGGTAGAAAAGGAATATTTCTCATTTCCTTTCCATTTGAAATTATCATTATAATTGCATAGTATAGCATTTGTTTTATTAAACAACTAGCTTTATTTTTTCAGTATTTGAGAACTCAAATCTGAAAGGAATGTCTGAAGAATTGTTCAATATGTTTATTATATGAATAATGTAATGGATTCAGATTTTGATATTTATATCTTTGTCATAGCATGGATAATTATTTTTCACTTACTATTTTGCAAATTGGTGTTTAGAACAAATTTATAAATTCACTGTACTACATATCTGCAATATTCTTAAATTTCTGAAAAAAAATATTTACATATTGACTACAACATAAAATACTGAAAAATTCATCTCAATTTTTATATCTTCATGTTAATCTTCATATTAATATTTATTCTTTTCTTCAAATAATTCTTAGGGGTGTGCAGAGTAATCCATATTATTATACATAATTAATTTCATCTTAAGCATAACGCTAGATACAATCTTACGGTGATCATTCTAAAATTTTTAAGATGCAATTAAATGGTACAAAACGTACCAAATCTTAGGGGGTTCAGAGTAATCCCTTCCAACATCAATGCATTTTTGCAGACAACGTTTTCAAAGTTTAAATGTTTCATTTCTTAAAATCTGCAAAAAATATGCTTTTATAACCTCACTCATCTCATTTTCGGAAGAAAAACGACTGCCATGTGAATTTTATTTTAGATTCTGAAATAGCCAAAAGTCACGCATAGCAAAATCAGAAAAATGGGGTGGATGTTTTATCACTTACATGTGTTTTAGTTCAAGAAATTAAATTGTCAAACTTGCTGAACGAGAAGATGCATTAGCATTGGTTACAGCCGAAAACATCGCGGCAAAAACATCGCAGACGTAAATGTCGCGGAGAAAACAACGCAAGGCGAAAACGTCGTGCTACAAAACATCGTGGGAGAAAACATCGCAAAGAGAAAACATCGCAGTTCTAAAACATCGTGGTACAAAACATCGTCGTCGAAAATAAAGCGGTTCAAAAACATCGCAGTTTAAAAACATCGTCGTCGAAAATATCGTGGTAAAAAATAAAATATCTACAAATCATCTCATGACGATAACATCGCAGACATGCTTTTTTTAAGGCATGCTTTAATAAGTGTAAATGGATATTCCCATAATGATTTGTGAGCGCAAGATGGAAAGGAGGATAATTTTTACTTTCATATTTTTTATTAATTAATACATTTTTGCTGAGAAAATAAAAAGGAAACTTAAGCATAAAATTATGCAACTTATAGCACTTAATAGAATTTTAAACCGACATAGTTAACTAACAAAGCCCATTAATAAATCATTTTTATAAAGTTTTTACTGGTAATATTTCATGAAAAGTATAATCTATAAGTTGCATTTAATTTTCTATGCTTAAGTTTCCTTCTTACGTTTTTCAGCAAAAATTTATTAGTTCATAAAATATGAAATGATAAAAGTCAAAATATATCCTTCATTACACTTCTTGCGCTCACAAATCATTAAGGGACTATCGCATTTACAACTTTCAAAGACCTGAAAAACGCATGAAAGTGATGCTATCATCATGCGAACGATTTGTAGCAGCTTTATTTTTTAACACGAATATTTTTGATGACGATGTTTTTAAACTACGAAGTTTCTTGATCCGCTTTATTTTCGAACGAACGATATTTGGTGCCACTACGTTTTAGAACTGCGATGTTTTCTCTTTGCGATGTTTTCTCCCACGATGTTTTGTAGCACGACGTTTTCGCCTTGCGTTGTTTTCTCCGCGACGTTTTCGTCCACGATGTTTTTGCCGCGATGTTATCGGCGGACACCATTAGCATTGTGAAGCATGAGTCCTCTGTTTCTGGATGACACTTAGTGTTGAATGATTTAGCTTTATCTATCTTCTGTCCCTCTAAATTTGTAGCTCTGATTAGTCCTGTATTTTTGAAGAAAAAGGCTATTTTTCTCACTGTTAGCCAAAAGGGCAATTTGCTCAGAAAGACTATTAATTTCGTTTTGGCATTTTGCTTCACTATAAATGTCGGTTCACTTTTCAAGTTGTTGCCACCAAATATTAGAGCCCTCCATTATACTTAAAGAAATTAAATAATGAAGAATTCGCGTAGATGTATATATTTTTCTCGCACTGTGAAAAAGCAACGGTACTTAAAGCCATCAAATTCTGAATAGCGTAGTCTTCCATACGAATATGAGAATCTGGAAGCCCAAATGTGGAATTCTGAATTTGTTTTCTATTTCGTATTTGGTAAAGCATTCATGTAAAGCATTTATTTTTGATTAAGAAACTCAACGGTTTCAACGCGAGCAGTGGCAACACTGTACGGAAAAAAATACATCTTTATCTTCAGCGCGCAAGACTGTGTATCGGAAATTCTAAAGAAGATATACTCTTTTTAAAGTATTTTGTTATATTGAATTTAATTTTATGATTTAAGTATGAAGAAAATGATATTTAATAAATGCAGGTAACACACAAAACGTTAAAAAAGCCCTTTTGGGCATAATATAAAATCTGAAAACTTTCAAACTGTCAGATATTTTTGCTTTATGTTTTCATCATTGTTGATTTCGGGTCATCTTCAAAGATGCCCTTTATTTTCTTGATATGTTGGAACATAAAAAAAGGTATGTACATTTCATTAACAGTTATGATTTTAAGAATAATATGGTATAATGTGATTTTAAGAATAATTTTTCATCATTAAAAAATTTTAGGGTTTCCTTACTGATTCGGACATGCTCAACGTTTTTGTGTTCCGCTAATTTACAGAGGACCCAAAGACAAATTCATTTGCAGTTCTTCACGAATAATTTTATGTGAAGCTGAGGATGCCATGTGAGGTTACATTTGGTAGGCAAAAGCGATTATCACTAAGTAATATTTTTCGTATGGTCGACACATATTCTGGGATTTTAGTTGACAACGGACTTCCTATGTGTTCTTCATTCAAAAGAAAATTTGGACCTCTATGAATATCTGTGATCTATCTAAATGCAGTGTCACGAGATAAAACTCCATTTCCGTTAGCTAATTGTAGACGTTGAAGGCATTCTTCTTAATTTAGTCGCACTTAAAAAACACAGAAAAGCATATCGTGACAATCCTCTCGTATTAGTTTCAGCTTTCTTTCTTTCAAAATTTATTCTACGATAGATAAATTGCAATCGTTGTCACAAATTACTATATGAAGGCGTAAGTTCAAATTTGTAAATCTAACAAATAATTTTGTACTGTATAGTTTCTGCCCTTTTCTAAAAACTTTCAGATTTATCTATGTAATTCAAATTGCGAAGTATGTTATTAATTTTGTTATATTTTTGTCTAACTAGTTTAAAAAATCTTATCGTGCTGCTACCTATGCTTTTAATTTTATAATTAAAATAACTGTTAATTTTTGTAACTGTTTCACAATAATTTTTATAGTCGAAGAAGAACAATTACGGGAGCAGGCCATGAGGAGAATGCGGGAAAATCTTCCTAAATCTCCTAGTCCTGAACCGGTCAGCGTACCAGTTCCGCCACCTCCAACACCGGAACCGGCTTCAGTCGCTGAAGAAGCTTTCATACCTATCACACAACCTTCACCAGAATCTAAAAGGTAATACTCTAGAAAAACGGGATAACTTAGTCATTAAATCACTTCATACTTTTTACGTTAACCATAAATATGCCCAAAACTTCATGTCAACTCTTTCTTTCTATTTACTGACGAAGATCGGAGAAAGCCGCCCTGGAGGCAACTACTTCCCTGCCTGACGATCCGAGTAAACTGAGTATTCCTGGTAAGAAAGTGGCGCCCTCTCATTCTGCTGATACCTTGACCTCTCAATCGAGTAACCCCAGCACTCCCACTAACCTCAGTACCACAGCCAGTACTGTTACACTGGTGGGTAGTCTTGGTAGCTCAGATTCGCCGAAGCCAAGCCCAAGCAGGTATGACTATTTTTAGTTATACACTGACTACCAATAAGTATTTGGACACCTGTGATAGAAAAGAAAAACTAACTTTATTCAAAATCAATAGTTGGTAGAGCCTCTACGAGAGGTATTTACAGCGCGGACCCTCTAGGGCATACTTTCCACAAGTCTTTGTATAACAACTAGTGGTATTTTCTTCCACTCGGCTTGGAGAAGACATAGAAGTTCGTTCACCGATTTTGCAAGGGTAGTGCACCCCTGAATTCGGCGATGCAACTCGTCCCAGAGGTTCTCGATAGGGTTCAGGTCTGGACTCTGGGCAGGCCAGTCCATTTGATGAACTCCATTGGCACCATACCAAGCCTTGGTTAACGTCGAAACATGACAACTGGCATTGTCGTCCTGAAATGAACAGGGTCCAACCCGTAAAACTGCCACAAAGTAGAAGCACATGGTCATCCAAAATAGTGCAGTAGGCATCGGAGTTGAGCTTACCATGAATGGGGACCAAGGGTCCCAGCCCGTACCAGGAGAAAACACCCCAGACCATAATTCCACCTTCGCCGAACTCGACTGTTGGCACAATGCATTCTGGCAGGAGACGTTCTCCAGGTAGACGCCAGACCCAGACCCTGCCATCTGAACGGTAAGGGGTGAACCTTGATTCGTCACTACAAAGAACCCGTTTTCACTGATCTACGGTCCAATTTCGATGTGCTTTGCACCACATTAACCGAGCAGCGCGGTTGGACTTTGTGATCAAAGGCTTATGGGCAGCAGCACGACCATGAAAACCAAGCAGATGTGCTTTCTTACGGATGGTATTCATTGAAACATTACTCCCGGATGCCTGTTGAGACTCCTCGCGGATGAGGGCTATCGGTTTGCAGCGGTTCTTCCGAATTTCTCTGAACAGCACTCATCGGTCTCTATCCCCCAGTTTCGTTGGTCTGCCGACTCGGGGCACATTCCGACAATCACCCCTCACCTTCCACTTCTTAATCACATAGGCCACTATCGATATTGTGTACTTCAGATCGCTAGATATGTCCCTTAAGGATCGACCACATTTGTGATACCCGATAATTATACCTTTCTCGAAATCAGAGAGCTCCGAACTGCGAGGCATCTTGCATGCGACTAAAGCCGATGATGTTTCCTACACGATATATACCGGCGGAGTGCGTGGCGTACCTTGGGACCACAGATGTCGTCATTTGCATAGGTGTCCAAATACTTATTGGTAGTCAGTGTATGCCATACTATGAAGTGCACAGTAACAACATGGCAGATATATCCTTCTACCTCCATATCAAAATGTATTGCAAATGTTTAAATATTCTTTAGTGTTGACTTATCTCTATATAAACTCTGTTTCTGGCAAATTTATTCTTAATTGTTGTAATCTTAAAAAAATTAGTTTTTGTATGCCATTGAAGATTATGCATTAATTTTCAAAGACACAAATTTTTACTCTTGCTTTAAGTGAAAACCTACATTTTTTGCTCTGCATATTAATACTAATCTAGTCTTGAGTGCCTGAATATTTTAGCAACTAAAGCCTTTGCAGAAATTCCTGTTTCTTCATATAAAAAGTCATATCACTTTTCAAGTTGCTGCCACCAAATCTTGACATCCTGTACTATTTTTAGAGAAATTAAATAATAAAGAATCTGCATGTATTATATGTATGTATGTTTCTTGTACTCTAAAAATACTACGGCATCTAGAGCCATCAAAATTTGAATAACGTAGTCTTTCACCCGAACATATACACTTAGAAGCCCGAATTTCGAATTTGTAATATTATTTATTTCATATTTTATAAAACTTCAATAAATTTTTTGATTAACAAGCTCAATTTTTTCAAAGCGTTCTGTGGCAAAACTGTTCGAAATAAAACATTTATATCTACAGCTATTCTCTAGACTGTTGCCAATCCGAAAGATTAAGATATTTATCTTTCAGTTTTCATTAACAAACTTGGCTTAATGGAAGCAAAACATAGCCACGGCCAGAAATAAAATACTATAATTCCCGCGCACCAGTGTTTTGCCGTTCATTACAGGCTAAGGTAATTTCAGATATAATCTGGAAGGTTTCTGAGTAATAACCTAATAGATTTAAAGGCAATAAAGGATAACTTTTTCTACTTTTTATGTGATTGATTTAAATAAACATTTAGTAAAACGATATCTTTAATCAGGAATATTCAATATTTTTAGTCCAAGGTCCCGAAGGACTATTACTTTCGTTTTCGCATTTTGTGTTGGACTCCTATAAATGTCGGTTCACTTTTCAAACTGTTGCCACCAAATGTTAGAGTCCTGCATTATATTTGAAGAAATTAAATAATGAAAAATCTACATAAATGTATGTATATTTCTCGCATTGTGATAAACCAACGGTATCTTGAGCCATCCAATTTTGAATGACATCATCCTACTGCGAATATGGATATCTGAAATCCGAAATTTGGAATTTGTTTTATTATCAATTTCATATTTTGTAAACGAATATCAAATTTAACGAATTTTTGAGTAACAAACTGAACGATTTAAAAGCGATCAATGACAACACTCTACGGGGGGGGGAACTTTTTCTTTCCAGCGCGTCGATCTGTGTATCGGAAATTCTAAAGATAGGCTCATTTTAAAATTATTTTGCGACATTGCTATTGAACTAAATTTTGTGGTTTAAGTGCAAAGAACACGATATTTAGTAAATAAAGGTAACACACAAAACGTTAAAAAAAACGCCCCTTTGGAGGTAATTTAAAATCTGAAACATTTCATATTTTTTTAATAAAATTACACTAGCTGGACTCATTAAAATTATTATGTACTTTTTCTTTTTTATGACTGTTATTTTAGGTGGGTACTTATTAAAAAAATAATATAGCGAATATAAAAATATGTATGGCAAACTCTAATATTCTATCGAGAATTACGTCACTTTCCTGTTGAACTGAATTTTATATGGCGTAAGTGCGAACAACATGGTGTTTAACATATAAAGTTAACTCAGTTAAAAATAATAAGACAATAAGGAAATTGAATACTGATAAGATAAACTGAAGAAGGACTGAAAAAAAATACAAAAATGTATACCAACACTTAACACTGCACCAGGAATTCTAAACATGTGTTGGAATGCAGCTTTTAAACATTTTGTGGTTTTGCTGTAGAACTGTATGTGGCATAAGTGCAAATAAAACGATGCTTAATTAAAACGCTAAAAAGACGATAAAAAATGGGTAAACACAAATGAGTACAAGAGCAGACTCGTAGAATGCGAACTCAGCGAGAACGTAGAAAACTTAACAAACCTTTTTGGGGGACCTTTAAATTATTAAACCTTTCTGCATTTTTTATTTAATTATTCTTTAGGTATTACCACTGCTGTTGGTCACTTGAAATTGAAAGTCGTTGAAACCTAAAATCCAAATACATTTACTTACTTATTGCAAAGATCCTTAGTATCTAATGTTCAGTACATTTCAAGAAAAAAAACGAAATGTTTTGACTTCTTTCCTTCAGAAATAAATATTTCTTATTAGAGAAAATTGCTAAAATGCAGTTATTTAATACTAACTTTGCAAGTTCAATTTTTAATTATTACAGAAGCCGAAATTTCTTGTCAAAGATATGTTTATGCCAATACTATAGACAATTTTGCAGTGTTTATCCTTAAGTTTATTGCACTGTTATATTTGTATGCATATTACTAAGCAAAATTGTGACTCTATGAAATAATTTAAATGTTCATTAAATGCTCGTCTGTCTGTCAGCTCCGACCCTTTGTCCGAGGTTGCTAGGTAATGGATTGCCACAAAATGGCAAATTTGGCTGAATGTGCAAACAGATCGGCTGCCATTCTTATGGAGTTAAATAATAATAATAATGATCCAGATAATTATGAAATTTGTGAAATGAATTTTACTCTTGGATTACTGAAAATCTGCATAACTTTTCAGGAAAACAGCACCTCAGCAACTGCCAGTGACGACACACTCAGAACCAATGGCACCCATCGCCTTGCCAGATGAAACTCCGCCACAGACGCCTCCATCTTCAGAAACTACGCCAGTCACTCCACCAACTCCACCTTTTACAGGTGTTCAGCCGCGAATTCTCCCAGAAAAGCAGCAGCAAGAGCTTCAACAACAAGCAGCTGCTATCCTACAAAGACAAATGAAACAGCAACCGCAGATGGCAGCAGCAGTTGCAGCGGCAGCCGCAACAGCAGCCGCAGCACCACCAAGTGGGCCTGCTGGTGCTGCGGCTGCTTTCGGGCCTGGTGGTACACCCATACACCCTAGCCAGTCTGTGCCAAATGTTATGACATATCTAAAAGTGAGAGGAGGTACGTTGTTAAAATACATTTCTTGTACATTGTTTTAAAAATTTGAGGAAAAGATGACGAAATTTGAACTCTTTGTGTTGCACCGAAAGTTGCACCATTTATGTTGCACAATATGGAAATGGAAGCACAGAATATGAAATGAAACAGTTTAAGGCACTGAAACGGAATATAGTTACTCAGATGGGTTTGTTTACTTGTCAGTTTAATAACATTTGATAAAACGTGTACTGTGTCACCTTCTTTGGTAGAATTAATTGGTGAACTCTAGAAAGACTACAGAGGAATAATCCTCTTTCTTAAACTGCAGACGGACAAAGTCAGGAGAAGGGTATAAATAGCCCTTTTATTTTAGATTAAGAATTAACAATGACCCAATTTGGGTTTACACAAGCCAACAGTAATTCGTAATGTTGAACTTATTCAAATGTGGTATATTATATTGAGTCTAACGGCTCATAGAATACTTTAACTTGCAGGAAAGTCTCTGGTTGGTATAAACCGGCGAGACAAGCTAAATTGCTAGAAGCATGCAACGCCAATGAAATCGCTGATAATCACGGCACAACGTGGCCTGGACTAGGCAGACACTTTCTCAATCTGACTTTCCGAAAGTTGCTTAAATAGCACTTCTTTCTCTATCTCATTTACATTCTGGGATGAAAAGAGAGTGATAGGAAAGGTCTTTCAACTTAAAATTAACTATTAGTTAAACATAAATAAATACACCTCACAAACTCTTCGAAATAATCTGTAATTGTATCAGGAATTTCAAGAAAACTGAATTAAAATATATATTTGTGGAAAAACCACTTACTGACAAAAAATGAAATAAGGAGAGAAAAATATAAAAATTACCACTTCACCTTAATTGGTTTTACATAGCTTGTGTGGACTTAACATGTGTAATGTTGATCTATGTAAGATTAGTTTAATTTAACATAGATCAACATTTTATGTGTTAAGTTCACATAAGCGGTATGAAACACAATTAAAGTGAAGAGGTAATTTTTGCGTTAAAATTTCTGGATACACTTTCATATTTCAACATAGTAAGTTATACTTTTTAGCATAGACATAATAATTTTAAGTTTTTCGTACAACGTCTTGCAGCATTACCATTGCAAAAAGTATCTGAAATTAATTTGGGGTCATGTATTTCCGATCTATTCTAAATGAAAATAGATTAGGTCTTTAACTAATATGATTGTTCAAACCATCAGTTAGTTTCCAGTACTTATAATAACATCATCAGAAATGGCACAAGAAACATAGCGTCATCGAGTATATTTACGTGAACGAATGGTTTGCTACGAAATGGAAATCTTGGTGGAACAGGTAGAGGATTTTTTATATAAATTAAAAATTATATATACTACTATAAATCCTCGTTCGATCAAACTTCATCTCTAGAAATTATTTTTTTTTTCGTGTTGAATAAAAACATCAATCCTATCCGAGTGTTATTCTGTATATCAGCCCTTACCTTGTAATACGCGTCTACTTCGCTGCTGTGAAATAAAACTTTTGATATCCAGATGGTTTATAAAATTTACGCCGGTTGATATATATGCACATTCTTCCCAGTTCTTACAATAGAGTAGCGCGTAAGAAATAATTTGCTGTTCTAACAGAAATTATATTTCAAAAATTTGCTGTCTTTACCTGTAGTTGTTTTGAAATTTTTATTTTATCTAAATGTCTAAAGGATATAATAATTTAACAATTTATTCAAAAATACGTTTGTGTTGCAGCGGGAAGCAAACGCGGTAGCAGTGATACGGAAGGCAGCACTAGCCAATCGACCACACCACGCAGCAGCTTCCAAACAGAATCCACGATTCTCTCCACACCTCGAAGTAGCTTCCAATACCCAGATTCACCACAACACAGCAGTAAAGCTGGTGTCGTCGTCACTTCGTCCAGAGCGTCCACGAGGAGGTATATAATTCGTGATTCACTCTGTGTACATGAGATATTTATAAATACATTTAAATTTTCAAAATCTAAGCATTTATTTAAACGAGTTTATTTTTTTGATGGGGACATTTAATTTAATTGGTACTGTATAATTTGTATTATTAATAACTTTCTCCCTTCTGTTAAAAAACAAAAATTTAATTCGGTATTTAAAACTCCTAATGCATGCTGTATTCGTAAAATATTATGATATAAAATATTCTAGTTTCCTTTTTTTCTGAAGTCAAATGTCTTTATGCAGTTCAAGACATTAATTTCATTAGGATGTGGTTTTATAACCAGGGTGCCTGCTGGCAAGTGTTTCTAACACCTGAGTCTTCAGATTTCGTAACGAAATTAATTTAAAATTCTCTTTGAAGATCTAAAATTTTGTGCTAGAAAATAACATAAAACTGTTTTGGAGCGGAAACCTTTTGGTTGCATAACTTAGCGGCACTGCTGTGCATAATGCATAAAACGATGCACAGTGGGAGTAATTAAAAATATTTCACAAGAAGATAGCACAATGTGAAGTAATAATCTAGATAAAAATAAAATGGACAGAAAATTAACGCTTACGTAACTAAAATTGTATATATTTCCATACTTTTCAAGAAGATAGCACCTTAGCAACTGACATTGGCGGCATAGTCAAAACTAGTTGCATCCACCAACTTGCCAGATAAAAACTCCTCAATAATGTACAAACCTCTGTCACTTTTAAACATGTCAAATATTATAAGATATCTAAAAGTGAGAGGAGATCCGTTGCTGAAGAAAGATGGAAATTAATTTCCTATACTTAGTCATAAAATTCTGAGGAAGCTTGAGCCCCTTTATTTTGCACAGAAAATTCTAGCCTTTAAGTTTCACCAATATTAGTAAACCAAATCCAAATAATCATTCGGGCTTATTCATATCTCAGTTAAAGAAATTTCATAAAACGCTTAAAAAATTGTTCATTATACTAATTTCAGAACTTGAAACAAAACCTTGCTTAAGAAAAAAATGTGTGTGAAAAATTGGGAAAAATAAAATAAGCAGACAGCAATATAAAAATCACCATTTCACCTTAAAAATTTTCTTAAAATTAATTTTTCTTTCTTCTTTTTTCTTCTTCTTCTTTCTTTTCTTCTTTTTTTTAAATTATAAATATCTGTTCAACTTAAATAATGAATCTTACAATTGGAGAATCCTAGCTACAGGTTTATTTCCTTAACGTTGGCATAAGAGATATACAGGATGACCAAAAATTCTTCTATATTAAGTAAACGTCTTATAAATTGAAATGCAGTCAAATAAATTGCATCGTCTATCGTTAAATAAGGAGTATTAACAACGAGCGTACACGCTATTTGTCACGTAATTGCCATATAGCATTTGCGTCTATTTGCGTTGCTAGACATGTGTGTCATTTTCCCAGAAATAAAGAATTTTGATTTATTAAAGAGTATTTTGTTGTTGTTCTCATTGTTGAATAGCTGTTGAACAATGCAGTGTACAAACACATCATTATTCAGTTTACTGCGCTTTTTTAAGTCGATGAATATAAGTCAAGATAGTGCCACATGTAACACATCTAATGAAATCATTCAGTTCTCGCGCAGGTTTCCAGTAACTGTATCATCTCCCCCCCCCCGGGAGTCGACGTAGAGAACTCTGCGAAGCTACTGGTTAGGATCTGTATCTAGGCAGTCTCGGCCACGGGGGTATAAAATTTTTGAATTTGGTGGTTCTGAAGGCTCCGGGAAAGGTTACTTATTGGCCGGCCTCGGGGTCTGGCACGTCCTAGCGCTGCGTAGAACTAGTAGCCCCGGGTACGCTGGGTAATGGCCCGCTGCGACTGGTGGGTAGCAAATAACGACCAGTGCCGTGACGGGTGACTACCTGGGCGGTGCGCCTCCCTCTCTGAGGGGCCAGAGCGGAGGTTGAATCTCCGCGCCTGGTTCTAAGGAGTGGGGGGACCTATAGTGTGATAAATGATTCACGGAACAGGGAATGCCAATATTGTTGGTAACTGTATCATTTTAAAATGATTATGGTCCCCGTTTTTCCCTGATTTGACTTCCACACATATTTTTCTGTGGGATGCCTTCAAGGCAAGATTTATACAAATAGACTGCGAACATTTCAAAGCCTAAAGAGAAACTGTACAATGGCGGTTAGAACAATATAAAAGTGCTCTACCAAGTGGCCTCAAACATGGTAAAATAAGCACATGCATACAATACTGAAGAAACCTGTCATTTGGAGAATTAAGACACGATCCAATGTTGCATTTTTTGGGGTGACACTGATGTACAAAGTTTTCCGATATCTATCTCATACATTCTGTTAGAAAATTTCTTAAAAGGAGGCAAAAGTATTTATAATAACTGTATTAGTAATTTATAATAAAACTTTGTGTAGTTATATTCTGTGAGGATAAAATGTAACTTTCTGTCATGCGGAACAGAATTCTATTAGAATGCCCTACTGCTTAATGAGTCGAAAATTGGAAGTTCCGTAGCTTTACATGCAAAATTATTGGTTATGTGTTTAATAAATATTTCCGAGAATCATCTAGATATTTAATTCGCTTCAATGAAGTCGGAGCCCTTATTCGGGGAAACAATTTAATTTTATATCTGCTTCCTGAATTTTTTCAAAGAACCTTTAGTTTGATAGGAGAACTATGAACTGGATTATTTAATTAATCCCATAGCTCCTAAAGGGGTTGAATCCAAGGATCTCATAGATCTCTACCCTACGTCCAATCTCTCGAGCGAAAGCAGTGGAAAAAAGTCTTAAGGCCGTAATTTCCTTCTCGAATATTTCCGTGTATTTTGTACATTAAGGTACAGAATACTATATTTACCAAACAAAACACTACAAGTATTTTTTAATTCGAACTTCCTATCTGCACTCTAGATGAAACACTAAATGTTTCTTTACTGAGCATTTCCCTCAGAATTTAAGATGTTTTTCAATACCTCATTTTAAACAATATTGTAGTTGAAAATACACTTCTAAAGTCCAGCTGTAAAACAAGTCGAACAAATAATCCTTTCACCTTTTGCAAAAACTTTGTAAACTCAAGCTCTTCGATCCTTAGGTTTAGAATAGATGAAACAGAAAAAAAAAAAAAAAGAAAAGAAAAGAAAAGAAAATGGAAACACTGCTATTAAGCGGTAACGAAAACTACTTTCATATGCCTTATAAAGGAAATAAATCACAAAAAATCTTACTTAATTTTTTATGAACATTTTCAACCAGAATTTTGCATTTTATTGTTAAAATATCACTAAAATGAACTTTTACTATATCTGCTACTTAAGCTAGATTAATGACATATTTCTATTCACATTATAAATGCTATTCAACTTAAAGTCAATGTTTTTCATCTCGTAGGTCGAGTACGGCCTCTGCAGCGGCAGCTTTTGCAGTTGCCACAGCAGGTTCCAGCAACCCTCCAGAGCCTTTAACATCTCAACCGCAATCCAGAGCAGGAAGCAGATTACCTAGCGCAGGTAAGTAATGAATACCATTTTCATAAACAGGGTAAACAATTGTTTCCTTGATTGAGGTATCAAATAATTTAGGCAACTATCGCAGCCGAGATGAAGGTTATTTTATCCAGTTTAAGTGAATGCAGAACTACTCCAGTACTATATAAAAAGATAGAAGAAGAAAATCAAAACGTAATTTGTAAAATAATCGAAGTTTTAATGTAACTTTAATTGCAGTTTCAAATAGGACTTGCAAACCACTGTTCTGACTCAGTAACTTAGCGTGCTCATACCGTCTTTAAAACATCCGCGGATTTTCTGACACAAAAAGCAGACTTTCTATCTCAGAATTTTATGTCTAACAAGTAATGTCTATATTCTAGCTTGTGATCTACCAGCGTCCGAGCCGCTGAACACTAGTAGTTTGGTCCGTGGTTCGAGTCCCATCCAACGGGCTTGCTGCCTGAGCATTTCCGTGGTTTCCTTATGTGCAAAGTGAATACGAGCCCGTTTCCCTTAAAAAGTCTTCACCAAGCACCCTTCCTTTTCTATGTAGTACCTGATGGAGAATGTAATATATACTAGTATATATATATATATATACTAGGTTGAGGGACGTCAAATGGTTTTACGCCCAGCTGTGGCCGAGTAGCAGCATCTAATCCATTCTGGGTTCTACTCCAAAATGATCGGGTTATTGTATGGTTATTTCGTTGTTTCTCCTAGATATAAAGTGAATATGAGCCTGTTTTCTTTAAAGAGAAGTATTCCTTCTTTAGAAATAATTTCACTTATTTTGTTTTACTTACATTACTCAGCCCATGGAAGATCATTTGCTAGAAGGCAAGGAAAATATGTAATACATTAATAATATAGCATACAGGATAGGAATAACAAGTCATTTAATTTTGTAGCACAAAAACCATCATTTCTCATGAGAACACAAATTATTTGTTTACTCTTAATGGTAATTTTTTAGTTTATATGAAATTAAGGCATGCAATATTGGTTTTCTATTTCTTTTCACTGATCTAAAATTGTAAATCAATCATTGCAATCATTCTGTATAAAATCATTACAATGATCGATTTGTAAAAAGTGATTAATCATGCATTTTATACAAAATTGTATAAAATATCATTTTACATACTAATTTACGTTTTATAAACTGATTTATACATTTCATATAATAACTGTAATTATATTATAAAAAATGATTTTCCTTTTATGGAAATTTTGTCCTCGTTATAATACTACTAGTGCAGATAGAAGAAAGAGAAGAAAATAAGAATTTCCTACAAAGAAATTTACAAACGCTGTAATCAATTTTAAATATAAATAGAACAAAAAAGGAAGTCTTAGAGACTAAAGGTTTGAAGATTAACCTGAAAAATTGAAAAATGTAATATTTTAAATTTAACATCAATTAATTTAAATTTCAAGAAAAAGATGTTAAAGGAGGATTTTAGTTTTACGTATTTAAGATTTTTAAAGAAGTTGTACAAAGGAAAAGAGGAGGTACGAAGCAAAGCCTAGCACAAATTATAAAATTAAAACCGTCTGTAAATGAAAGCAGGGTTGATTAGCAATTAATCTAAGCAAACGCTTGCCTTTATTTGTTGGTTCTCTAGAAAATTCCTGTCTATTCAGTGAAAGTATAGTTTGACTTGTGTTGCTGCAAAACTTTTAAATTATAATAAATGCCATATTATGCATTCTATATCAGAATAAATTAAAAATACTTATGAAATGGATTATACGTAACTCATGCTGCTGTTCCTTTCCAGTGGGTGCAGATCTAAAGATTCCTAATGCCAAAGCCAAACGGGAATCAATGATAACCACAGCAGCTACCATGAGGGTCCTGAATGTTCTACGACACTGGGTATCCAAGCATTCGCAGGTACAAACATAAGAGTAAATTTTAATTATATTTAATGAACCTGTTACTTTTATAATGATGTATATTATTTTTTAATTATCTGTCATTGAAACTGAAACAGTCAACATGTAATAAAAAAGCTAGCGACAACTTTCTTTTCCCTACATAATTACATACTATATACACAGCAAACTTAAGCAATTAATTACTAGTTTACGTTTCACACTGCTGGCCATTGCAACACCATGAAGGAAAACAAATATAAAAATATATTTATTGTGCGTGAACGGTAAGGTATGAAGACAAAATGATTAAATTTGTAAGTTTGGGGTTTACAGGAGTGCGAAATTTGTAGAAACAGGTGGCACCCCTGGCAGCTAAAACGGCCCTTAACCGGTTAGGCATGGAGTCGAACTTGGCTTGGATGACAGAAACGGACAACTCATTCCATGCTACTTCAAGTCTATGCCCAACTTCATCAACCGTATTAGCTGGAGAGGGGTGGCGGGCCAGTCTCTCAACAACCCATGACCAGATGTTTTCAACAGGTAACAGATCTGGAGACCGTGCATGCCAGGGCAGCAATTAAATACCCTGTGTATCGGCGAATGTCAGAACATGACGTGCAACATGCGGTCTTGCATTATCTTGTTGAAAGATGGCGTTTGGCAGGCCCCGAAGATACGACACAACCACTGGACGTAAGATGTGAGAAATGTACCCATCTGCGTTCAAATTAACGTCGATCCGAGCTAGAGAAGTGCGTGTCGTGTACCCAATGGCTGCCCAAACCATCACACCAGGTGCAGGACCCCTACGCCGATATCGAATGCAAGCAGGTGACGTGCGATCTTCTCAGACACTCTAGACACGTATACGGCCATCAGAATACTGCACGTAGAACCGGGACTCGTTTGAAAAGGCGACATTGTGCCACTCCTGTACCCAGCTTTGTCGTTTGGCGAACAAGATTCGCCATCTCTCTCTATGCTGCATTGGCAAAGGAAGCCCAAGTAATGGTCACCCTACTAGTACTCTATGCTGCTGCAAACGTCGACGCACCTAACGAGCTGATAATGGGAGTGCTGCAAACATGCCCATTTTCAGGGGCTAATGATTCCTGATGTGGTCGTACGGATTTTCAGTGCTGATCTCACAATATATCTGTCCACTCTGGCGTTAGTCATGGGAGGGTGTTGAGATCCTACATGCCATTCAGTATGACCTTCAGTAATCCATTGATTCCATATTAGCATGGCAGCGGTTGGATGTCGACCAGTGAGACCAGCGATATCATGGAACGATAATCTACACTTTCGATAAGCAACAATCCTATCGAATTTTGAAACTTGCTGGTAAGCATTTCCTCTTCTTATTTTAGGCATATTCTGAGCAAACTCTGATCTTACAAAGCCCTTTCCGAATGAGAAATCCATTACACAACTTTTTTTGTATGTAGTGCTTCAGATATCGTTTCTCCCTCCAGCGTCGTCTAGATGCGCTGAAACACTAATCATTTGCATATCCCAACTTCTTCATTTCATCTGATTTTGACGTTCGTCATATCATTCCTTCCTTGTGTTGCAATTTTAATAGCCAGCAGTGTATATGTTACGGTGAAATACCGAAATCTGGAGAATGTCGACTTTCACCGTTCACGTAGTCTCTTGGTGTATGTCCGAAATATTTTCCAAATACTCTTATTACTGACTTACACCGGTCAAAGTCGACATTCACCATGTACTAATGGTGACTGTTGAACATATAACAATATTATATTTTCTTCTCCGTTATTCAGTCGCGAATAAACGCACTTGAAACTTGAAATAAGAACTTAAGAACATGAGAACCTAAAATACACAATACATTCAAAATGAGAAAGGAAAATAATAGAAGTTAAAGAACTTACTTACTTATACAGTACGTTCTAAATGATAAAATAAAATAACAGTAATAAAAAACTTACTAAATTATGTGATTCAAATCTTATTTATTGCAACAACTTAAACTATTATGGCACTTTATGACCTCTCTTTTCGACTTTCACCAGAACATATCTGTGATTGTCGACATACACCGGTGAGGGTCCGAATATACAAGAATGTAGTGAAATATTCGGTCTTTCACCGACGTATTTGGTGAATGTTGATATTCTCCGGTGAAAGTCGACATTCTCCAATTTCGGTCCTTCACGGTAACATATATACAAGCTGTAAGATTCCAAAAACCGTACTATTAATATCCAAAACTACGGTTATTCGGATCGCATATTGAAGCCAAATAAAATCAAGCTTATTGCTGATTTATATAGATGTGTTTATTAATTTATCATTATTAAAATAACGTAAAAATTAATATAATACAGTATATAATGTTTAAGAAGCTGTTGCAATAACTTATATGTAAATATGTACGACACCTGACAAAACTTACAGTGTACAGCTGGTTTATATATAAACAGGTTATACGTTTTACTTTATGCACATAAAAAAGTATATGTAAACAGATAAAACAAATTATATTAAGCTTTACGTTCTACATATATGAATATGTATTATTTCTTTGCTTGATTTTAATTAAAATAGAAATAAACTCTTTTCTTAGGAAATGAAAACCATTTTATTATTTCTAACAGTTCATTCAAGTAAAATATTACATACAATTAACTGTTAAATTCCCTGATTTGCTATACAGTAAATAGGCATTTGGCTTACACATAGTAGCCCAATAATCATTAGTTTTCAAATATTTAGATAATCTATTATCTCCGAAAACTGTAGTTTTACTGCATTTTACGTTCATGATTATCCTTCGGAAAATTATTTTATTTCTTTAAAAATTCTTGATTTTCATGCAACATATCGTTATAAACCTCATGTTGATTTCCAGTTGGAATGTTATACACGATGAATGAGAAGTCTGAAGTAATTTTAAGGAATGCCTATGATTTGTGCTAATCAAACACGATTAATTAAAGGAATAGAACTGAGTAGATTAGTGCTCCTCAAACATGATTAATGAACCCTGTCTATTAATTTTCTCCCGTTTCTAAAATTCTTCAAATTACTAATGTATCTGTAAATCAAATTACTACTGTATCTGTAAAAAATGTTATAGAAAAACATTGCTAAAACATTCATCTCTTGAAATAGATATGCTTCGTGTTAAAAATTTCATTTGCGGTGTACGAAAAAAATTACTAGACACGTGTTTTCTGTGTAGTGTTAATGATATATGCTATGAATGTGCTATCTTTACAATATATTATTTATTTTGAAAGCGTAGAATCTTCCCATGAACCACAAATGCACAAAATAGGCCTTACAAAATAAGTTAATTAAAGACTTAATATTACAGGCAAAAATAAAACAAACAAAAGCAGGGAACAGCAGTCTATAGTTTACAAAAACAGAAAAAGTTCCCTGGCCAAGTCCCGCCAAACGTTTTGAAATCATTCTGTAAGCATATTTTGGAGCCATCTTAGGTAGAGAGGAAAAAATTAAATTATTTATATCTTAAGGTATTTTTTAACACTCACATAAATTATTTGATCTTAGATTGAAACTAAACGTATAACTTGCAAATTTACCGTGATTAGGTAAAAACTGAGATATTTTTTAAAAAATAAAGAGGGAAGACTCGGAATGCAGTCTATGATAAACAGAAGGAAAAGAACTTTTTGGTAACTCCAGCATTACAAGATAAAGTATATTCTTCATTCCACTTAAGGATTTCCAATACCTTTACAATATATTGGCAGTAATTTATAATATGTGGTGCGAAATAAATTAAATTAAGCTTTTTTTTAATGTACTTAAATGTGAGAGTTTTAGTTGTACAAGTGTGATAAAAATCATGAAACTTTGTTCCAGGACTTTGACAATGACCCAAAATTACTTCAGTTAACGACTGACTTCCTTGAAGAGCTTGTACATAACAATACTTTATTGCCCGCCGAGACCAAAGCAGCGTCTCAACTACTACAGATGATCTCCAAACAGGATCAAGAAAAACAGACTGTTGATTTGGACCTTCTCCTAGCCACTCCTTTGGTAAAACTATAGCAGAAATTCTACAACTATTTTTTTTCTTTTTCGATATTTGCATTTTTATATGTGAATTTTCCACGTCTGCTTGTGAAAGTTTAATCTGATTTCTTCTAAAATTGAGTTGAAATAATAAGATTCTATCTTCAGGTCAAAACCTGAAGATTGATGAGCAGATTGTGGCTGTGATACTGCTAATAATAACAACACATTCTTCGTCATAATAACGTGATTTTAAAATGAAGAAATAGCGTATCACTAAAGCATAATCTTAAAAATTAACTGAATAGAAATCGATTTAACATAAACTTAAATTTATTTATGATATTCTGAATAAAATAAAAACCCAATCGCCATCAAATTACCATGAGTGTATCGGCAAATTCAATAAAGTAACAATTACTCAGACTACTGAATTAATTAGTACTCACAACTTTTTATGATAAATGAGAGCTGTGATTCCAGTTTCAGGACTGGATTTAAATAAACTTGTAACAATCTGCAGGCTTAAGTGATAGTAAAAAAATGCCAATAGCAACAACAAAGCTATACATTAAATCCTAATTTTCTTCATACCTGAAGCTTAAACAGAAATGCATTTGCATACTGTAGGTAATTCCATCTAAGATCTACAAGTAATTCTAGGTTTTTCTCGCGCCGGGCGTAGCAAACTGAAATAGGGAAATGCTTGAGCTAAACTTAAAGTTTTAATCAAGTATAATTAAGCCTTTGGTGTTCTAATAAACCTCATAAGTTTGGAGATGCGCAGAGCACTGCCTTCCTTACAGCTTCTTGAAAGCCGTATCACACATTCAAAAATTTTCAAAAGAACTGTTTAGTGCAATTTTTTGTTTTGTCATAGGATATAAAACAGTCAATCACTACGAATCTTTTTACGTTTACCATGTAAAGGGAAAACTGGTTCCCCATTGCAAACAAAGAAACTACCAACAAACTTTTTGAGGACAACTACTTTGACTACAACTTTTTGAGGAAGCAAAGAAATAATCGTGCTCCTTCTTTGAAAAGATAAAGCCGGCAGAAAAATTTTTTGAAACAGTTGTTCGTCCAAAACAGACGAATGTGTGATAGCGTCTTAAGTTATATTTGGATAGCGTTTTAAGTTGAGAGATAGTTGGATAACTATTTCTCAATATACTAAATAGAATTTGAAGTCTTCATATTTTTAATAAAAAGTTAAACGTATTTTAATACAAATTATATATATTTAGTGTGCCTTTCTTTAAATGCTATTATAAATGTTTCTGTATAGATTTTATATCAAGATATTTCAGAAAGACTCGAAACAAAAATATATTATAGTCCATATGCCGTTAATAAAAGATATTCAATCAACAAATATGTTATGATCATAAAACTCCTTGATGTTAATTGCAGATTGATATTACCAACACATAAATGGTAACTCCAAACAAATATACAGGGGTTGGACAAAAATATGGAAACACCTTTAAAAAAACATGTTTCTTTGCTTAATATGGTGTAGGAAACCCGTTGGCATCCAAAACAGCTTGCAGTCTTCTCGAAATGGATAAATACAGTTCCTGTATGTTTGCCAAGGGAATATTATATCATTCTTCCTGCAAAACGGTGGCAAGTTCAGATAACGATGTTGGCGGTGGATAACGAGAACGCACTTTCCGTTCCAATGTAGACCACAAAGGTTCGATAATATTCAGGTCTGGTGACTGTGGTGGCCAGGGGAGATGGGACAACTCATCCTCGTGCTCAGAAAACCAGTCCTGGACAATGTGAGCTGTGTGAACAGGGGCTTTGTCGTCTTGGAAGACACCATCACCATCGGGGAACAAAGTTTGTACCATGGGATGAACTCGATCGGCCAAAATGTTCACATAAGTCTTGGCAGTCATGTGCCTTGACACAGTTATCATGGGGCTAGCAGAGAACCACGATATGGCTGCCCAAACCATAACAGAACCCCCGCCATGTTTCACTCTTGGCAACAGGCAGTCTGTATTATAGGCTTGAGATGGCGTTCTCCAGACGTAAACTCCACCAGAAGTGGAAAACAATGTGAAAGAAGACTCGTCAGACCATATTACTCGCTTACGCTGCTCTATAGTCCAGGCTTTATGACTTAAACACCACCTTTTCCTGTTACGGGCATTAGCATCACTGATGAGTGGCTTCTCGATTGCAGCACGGCCACCAATTCCCTGTTTATGAAGCTCCCTTCTAATTGTTTTGGTAGTCACAGGGTTCCGTAACACAACATTCATTTCAGCAGTAACTTTTGCAGCTGTGGTCTTCTTATTTTTCGTCACAATTGCCCTTAATGATCGTCTGTCACGATCACTCAGGACACACTTTCGTCCGCGCTGTGTTTTAGCAGATGATGTTTTTCCGCTTTTCAAATATGCGGAATAAATCTTCGATACAGTACCTCTTCAAACATTAAACACCTCGGCTACCTTACTTACGGAAGCCTACCATACGTGCTCCAACAATTTGCCCACGTTCGAAGTCTGTTAACTCTGACATAACGCAATGACAACCTCACATAACAGTACTCTGACAACAACTGAACTGTTTAGCACATTTACGAAGTTGTATAGGTGGCGTCAGTAGTCAAAAACGCCAGCGCCACCTGCATATTTCATTAAAATCAATCTTTCTTTTCAAACATGCATTTCACAAGGTGTTTCCATATTTTTGTCCATCCACTGTATATTACTTCATTGATAGACAGGTAATCAAAAAATAAAAATATGGTTAGTAGACAATGCATTAAGAAACGAAAACACGTTGTTGGCACTATTCGCGAATCGAAATATCAAAGAAATTAAGAGAGTCTTCCCAATTTTTAATAGCTTATTGAATTTTGAAATAATATTTTCTCTTTTTGAAATGAGAATATTATGTAGTGAGAACAACATTATGTTATTTTTTTCGACATTATAAATATAAAATTAGTCTGTGCATGAAATTTTACGTTTTCCATATAATTTAATTCTTTGGATTCCAATAGAAGCGTTTCTGTGAATAGAGCTAAATAAGTGCTTTCATAATTATCTAATATTCTCATTTTTGTTATTCCTCGCTTTATATGATTAATGTATTGTGTATTTCCTGATTTAATTAATATTTTCCATTTTGTTGTTGTTACTATTTTATTTACTTTAAACTTCCCTATTCTTTTGAATCGCTTGCATATGTTGTTATACATATCACGCTCTTGTATAATCATGCAGTTATTGCTTAAATTAAACTTCTTCGTAATTTTCTTTCTCTAGACTGCAAGTAAAGAAAACGTCGAGACGTTATCAGCACTTGAAATTGCCGAAGGAATGACTTATTTGGACCACAAAATATTTATATCGATACGAAGCGAGTAAGTTTTACGCCTTTTTATTATTATCTTTTTATCTATTATCTCTTTTTGATCTTTTTATATTATTATCTCTTTTTGAACTATTTTAATCAGTTTGAAATTTTACGCAAAGCCTATAGTATTTTTGACTGAAATCGCAAAAAACGGCTTAATCTATTGCATCATTTTATTATCTCTTCCGCAGTTATTCAACTAAATATATACAGATTCATATACAACCCATTTGAAAGCAGATTTACGCACATTTTCTTGCATTCTATAAGTATTTATGTTATATAATGACAGAAAAAGTAACAAATACTTTCATACTATTGACTGATATTTATACTATAACTGATATTTCGGCACCTATTTTAAATGTCAAACTGGCTCCAGGATTTTCACCAAGTTCATACGTCTCATATGTATGTTGTGGTTGCCTTTTTTCCTCGATTGGTTTCGAACTCCGCAAAGTAAGAATCATGGTGATGGTGATTCGTGTCGCGTTGATTTTTATTCCGCCACTTTGAGGAACCCCGCAGTCTTTTAGCATTTTGTGTATAAGCAGCTGTTGTTAAATCAGTCAAATAGCATTTATGGTTCCCAATGAAATATCTCTATCCTGCTTTTACCAGCTTCTTTGTTTTATATGTCTATCAATAGTCAATAAATTGTCGATCCCTCTTGTACATGATTGATAATTTTGGCCATGAATTTAGTTCCTTCACTATTCGGAATCTGAGCGACAAAAAAAAATACGAGTTTCTTAGTGTAACCTGCCAAGTATCCAGTTTTAAGGAAGAACCCTGCTGGCTTTGTTTTCCCACGTACGAATAGGTTCTGTTTTATGACTACATCTTTTTCAGGGCCACCTATTCGCTTATTTGATTGCCGGATAGGATGTAAAGTGCAGAGAATATACCTGTCTTGTAAAACTGTTCCAGTCAGTAGTTCTATTTTCGTAAAGGCAAAGCTGCTTCTCACCATTCAGTGAACGTTAGTTCCTTTGTCCAACGTAAATAAATCTCTGCGGTGTGATTAACAGTATTCTAAAACCGCTGGACCAGTTGCAAAATTATAACACTCTTTCTTCAGTTTACCCTTTTTATGTTGTACCTTCAAACTGATATATAATTTTAGCTAAATGTCATTTCCGCATATTCGAATGCGAGATAAATATTGCATCTATATTGGAAGAAACAGTGGCGTAGCGAGCATAACTGGCACCCGGGGCCAAATACCTTTTTGGCGCCTCCCCCCACAAAAAACTTTCAGTATATAATGTATAGAATATATTCGTAATAAGAAAAAAATGCAAATAATAATAAAATGCTGAATCTGCCATAAAATACTCAAAAATATATTAAGAACACTCACTACCTAACTACACAAGCCATGGATTCGGAAATGCATCTATGTCGGCGAAAAAATCAGACATACGATGATCTAGAATTTGTTAAAAAGGTGTTATTTATTTTACATATTTATATAAGTGTTTTTAAAAAATACAATTTTTAAACAATTAAAAGTTTAATATACATTATAGATAAATAGATATGTGGCAACTTGCCTACTACAACTCAACTCTGCCAATCTGGTAACCCATAGCAACCAAAAACAAAATAATATTTATTCTATTCAATTGTTATAATTATTTAACGATCTGTCTCAAAAAATTGTACTACCATAATTGGTGACCCGTATTTATTAAGAATAGCAACCTTCAATGTTGCACGAATAAGGAGTTTATATAATTAAGACACAATAACACGCCGAATAAATACTAATTCAGAAGTCAAACAACAAAAATTAGCGTTAATTTACAAAATTTTCACAGGACTAGTTTCGATGGTTTTACCGAACCACCATCTTCAGCTGCAAAACCGCAAATTATTTGTTGTTTGACTTCTGAATTTTTGTTGTTTGACTTCTGAATTAGTATTTATTCGGCGTGTTATTGTGTCTTAATTATAGAAGCAAAAAATAAGCCTGTTTGGGACTTCTATAATTAAGACACATGATTTGCGGTTTTGCAGCTGAAGATGGTGGTTCGGTAAAACCATCGAAACTAGTCCTGTGAAAATTTTGTAAATTAACGCTGATTTTTGTTGTTTGACTTTTGAAGGAGTTTATATGTCAAAATTCTGAGCACCAGTAAGTTATCCAGTGTGATGAAATGCAAGTAACACATTTCACCTGTGATTTCAAGCGTTCTGCCGCATTCCGGTGACTCAACATATTTCTGTCATAATTTCAGCGGATATATGTATCGTCTGCTGCATTTGAGCCGCCAATTTCTCTGATTTCAAGTACCAAGAAACTGTGTCACTATATACATATTGATTATTTTTTCATACATATTATTACTGTGCATATTTGATTGATCTAAAGTGGTTGACAACAATGCTGCTTCACAATTGGCGCGAGTGGCAGTTAAGCCATCACCTTTCCGTCGCCGAGACCCATCGTTATGGTTCCTTCAATTGGATGCGCAGTTACTGCCGACGAAACGCAATTTTATACAGCGATCGCCGCGTTAGAATCAGAGGTACTGCAATCAGCTCGTGAAATAATTTTGAATCCACCGGTGACAGACAAATACAAATCTTAAAAAAAAAATAATTTCTGTTTATGAAGAATCCGAGACAGTTAAAATCAAGCAGCTGTTGCACGTTTACAGCCGGGTGATATAAGTCCTTCTCAATTGCTATCTAAAATGTCAGACTTAGCCGCCGGTAACCTAACGGATAACATTCTTAAAACATTATGGATGAATAGACTCCCATCTAACATGCAAACCATTTTAGCGGCCAGTAGCGAGCCACTTAAAAATCTTCCCGAAATCGCTGATAAAATTCACGAGCTGACCATTTCTGCGCAAATACACGCAGTGCAGGCTCCTAATTCAGGTATTGTGGCGTTACAGGCTCAAATTGATGGTTTGTCCAAACAGGTTGCTCAGTTAGTAGCCCATCCAAACTGAACATTTTCAGCGCAACCGCTCTACATCACGTGGTCGAAATACACGTCGTAGCCCACTGAGGAAACGTTATGAAAGCCCTCCTCCGGGTATTTGTTTTTTACCACCACAAATTGGGAAAAAAAGCAAACAAATGCCGCATACCGTGTGTCGTTATAGCGACCAGGGAAACGAGAAGGGCCGTTGCTCGAAGTCGTGAATGACAGCGGCCGAAATCGTTACCCAGTCCTGCACATTATCCAAGTTTTAGAGGGAAAAGCTATTTTTACAACCCTTGATCTTGAGCGGGCGTATCACCAAAGTGCCCGTTAACCCAGCTGATATTCCCAGCTGTTAACCCGTCAACCCAGCTGAACTGCGGTTATTACGCCTTTTGGACTATTTGAGTTTCTGGTCATGACTTTCGGCTTAATGCAATGCTGCTCAAACGTTCCAACGCTTCATGAATCAGGTGTTTAATCGGCCTCGACTTTTGTATACCTTATTTTGATGACGTCTTAATCGCCTCCTCTTCAGAGCAAGAACACCTATCACATTTGAGAACAGTTTTTTGAACGTTTTTTCAAGAGTACGGTGTCAGTCTTAAACCTTCCAAATGCGTTTTTTGGCCAACCAAGAGTATCCTTTCTTGGTCATGAAATTTCCGCTTGATGGCTTTCGCCCCTTACAGACCCTTTCCAGTCACCGAGTCACCACTATCTGTGATATGCCCGAACCATCGAACCACCTACAGTGAAGGACTTAAGAAGTATTTCTTGCTATGCTTGAATTTTTATCGACGTTTTTTACCTCATGCAGCGACCATACAAGCATCCTCTAAATTCTTTTTTGGTTGGAAGCAAGAAAGATGATAAACGTGTCTTATAACCTGGACCACATAAATCTCGCAAAGCGTTCCAAAAATGCAAAAATGATTTAATTTAGGCAACAAATTTGCAGTATCCTTCCGCATCTAAACCATTATCACTCTACGATTATAAGGTATTTCTCCCGCTTTCCTAGCGTGCCTTCGTGGCGTAGTGGTTCTGCACGCTAGGCCAGTACACCAAAGGTCCGCGGTTCGACTCCTGGAGAAGGCGGTTGCTAATTTTTCAATCTCTCTTGTTTCCAAATATCCTAATGTCTCTACAGTGGCGCCCGAACTAAAAAGGGTGTTGGATGAGGAATCTCCACACCCAGGATTTGGCGATTGGGTCCCCTAATAACCCCAGTCGCCCTTTAAAAGGGGGAGTATTTCTCCCGCTTTCCTAGGCTGTGTCTGTGGTGTAGTGGTTCTGCACGCTGGGCCGGTACTCCAGAGTTCCGCTGTTCGATTCCCGCGAAGGCGTTGCATATTTTTCATCTCTTCTGCTTCCAAAAAATAACCGAACATCTCTACACGTTGAGGCATCAACAACAGGTATAGGAGCAGTTTCACAACAAAAAGATCCAAGAATTATGGAGACATATTTTTCTAAAAAACCCTCACCAGCACAAACCAGATACAGCACTTGCGATCGCGAATTATTAGGAATTTATGAAGCTGTCAAATATTTTCGACATATGCTAGAGGACGCGTTTTCATGATCTTCACAGATCACAACCTATGCTTTTAACCGGGATAAAACTTCTCCTCGTCAAATGAGACACCTAGACTTCATAGGGCAATTTTCAACAGCTATCCGTTATATTGAGGTTTCGCAGAATATTGTTGAAGACACCTTGTCTCGTATTGAAGAACTAGCCGTTCCTTCGCCAATAAAATTTGCTGCCCTTGCGGATGAACAACACCGGGATTCAGAACTACAAACCTTCTTGAAAAGCAAATCTTCCACCAATCTCAACTTGCAGCTAATGCAGCTGTCCCCTGGAAAATCACTTTATTGTCATGTTCAGGATTCAAATTCGACCTTATGTCCCTCCGGATTTCGCCGTGCCATTTTTAGTCAGTTATATCGTCTGTCATTCTGGCATCAAGCTTCGAGGAAACTGATACAGCAACGTTTCGTATGGCCTAACATACAAAAGGACATAGGCAATGTACAAGTTCGTGCTTGGAATG